AAAAAAAAAGAAGAAGGAGAAGAAACCGCACGAATGCTAGAAACAGCTCTACAGTAGCAACAACTCCAAAAGGGAAGTCTACTTCAAATTCTTTCCCGCATTTACTCATTCACTAAAGAATAATTAAAATAATGAAAGAGAAAAAAACATTAAAATGATGAAAAAGAAAGGAAAAAACATGAAAGGTAAAAATCATGGTAGTATAGGGTACATGAACTCTCTAGTCGCATTTCCAACATAGGGTCTTCACTCCCTTGTTGATTTTATTTTAAACATAGAGTCTCCACTCCCTAGTCGCTTTTCCAACATAGGGTCTCCACTCCCTAGTTGATTTTATTTTATACATAGAGTCTACTCTCCTTAGTCGCTTTTCCAACATAGGGTCTCCACTCCCTAGTTAATTTTATTTTAGAAATAGGGTCTCCACTCCCTAGTCGCTTTTCTAACATAGGGTCTCCACTCCCTAGCTGATTTTATTTTAGACATAGGGTCTCCACTCCCTAGTCGCTTTTCCAACATACGGTCTCCACTCCCAAGTTGATTTTATTTTAGACATAGGGTCTCCACTCCCTAGTCGCTTTTTCCAACATAGGGTCTCCACCGCCTAGTTGATGTTTTTAGACATAGGGTCTCCACTCCCTAGTCGCTTTTTCCAACATAGGGTCTCCACCGCCTAGTTGATGTTTTTAGACATAGGGTCTCCAATCCATAGTTTGCTTTTCCAATATAGGGTCTTCACTCCCTAGTTGATATTTATTTTAGACATAGGGTCTTCACTCCCTAGTCTCTTTTCCAACATAGTGTCTTCACTCCCTAGTTGATCTTTATTTTAGACATAGGGTCTCCACTCCCTAGTCTGCTTTTCCAACATAGGGTCTCGACTCCCTAGTTGATATTTTTAGACATAGGGTCTCCACTCCCTAGTCTGCTTTTCCAACATAGGGTCTCGACTCCCTAGTTGATATTTTTAGACATAGGGTCTCCACTCCCTAGTATGCTTTTCAAACATAGGATCTCCACTCCCTAGTTGATGTTTTTAGACATAGGGTCTTCACTCCCTAGTCTGCTTTTCCAACATAGGGTCTCGACTCCCTAGTTGATATTTTTAGACATAGGGTCTCCACTCCCTAGTCGCTTTTCCAGCATAAGCTCTCCACTCCCTAGTTGATTTTATTTTAGACATAGGGTCAGCGCTCCCTAGTCGCATTTCCAACATAGGGTATCCACTCCCTAGTTGATTTTATTTTATACATAGAGTCTCCACTCCCAAGATTTTCCAACATAGGNTTTTCAACATAGGGTCTCGACTCCCTAATTGATGATATTTTAGACATAGGATCTCCACTCCCTAGTCGCATTTCCAACATAGGGTCTCCACTCCCTAGTTGATTTTATTTTAGACATAGGGTCTCCATTCTCTAGTCGCTTTTCCAACATAGGGTCTCCACTCTCTAGTTGAATTTTAAGACATACGGTCTCCACTCCCTAATCTGCTTTTCAACCATAGGGTCTTCACTCCCTAGTTGATGTTTTTAGACATAGGGTCTTCACTCCCTAGTTAATTATTATTTTAGAAATAGGGTCTCTACTCCCTAGTCATTTTTCCAACATAGGGTCTCTACTCTCTAGTTGATTTTATTTTAGACATAAGGTCTCCACTCCCTAGTCTGCTTTTCCAACATAGGGTTTGTACTCCCTAGTTGATTTTATTTTAGACATAAGGTCTCTACTCCCTAGTCGCTTTTCCAACATAGGGTCTCCACTCCCTAGTTGATTTTGACATATGGTTTTCAATCCCTAGTCTCTTTCCTAACATAGGGTCTCCACTCCTAGTTGATGATATTTTAGACATAGGGTCTACACTCTCTTGTCTCTTTTCCAACAGAGGGTCTCCACTCCCTAGTTAATGGTATTTTAGACATAGAGTCTCCACTCCCAAGTCTCTTTTCCAACATAGGGTCTCCACTCCCTAGTTGATTTTATTTTAGACATAGGGTCTCCACTCCCTAATCGCTTTTCAAACATAGGGTGTCCACTCCCTAGTTAATTTTATTTTAGACATAGAGTCTCCACTCCCAAGTCTCTTTTCCAACATAGGGTCTCCACTCCCTAGTTGATTTTATTTTAGACATAGAGTCTCCACTCCCAAGTCTCTTTTCCAACATAGGGTCTCCACTCCCTAGTTGATTTTATCTTAGACATAGGGTCTCAACTTCCTAGTCGTTTTTCCAACATAGGGTATCCACTCCCTAGTTGATTATATTTTTCACATAGGGTCTCCACTCCATAGTCACTTTTCCAACATAGGGTTTTCCACTCCCTAGTTGATTTTACTTTAGACATAGGGTCTCCACTCCCTAGTTGATTTTACTTTAGACATAGGGTCTCCACTCCCTAGTCGCTTTTCCAACATAGGGTCACCACTCCCTTGTTGATTTTATTTTAGACATAGGGTTTCCACTCCCTAGTCGCTTTTTCGACATAGGGTCTCCACTCCCTAGTTGATTTTATTTTTGACATAGGGTCTCCACTCCCTAGTCACTTTTCCAACATAGGGTTTTCCACTCCCTAGTTGATTTTACTTTAGACATAGGGTCTCCACTCCCTAGTTGATTTTATTTTTGACATAGGGTCTCCACTCCCTAGTCACTTTTCCAACATAGGGTCTCCACTCCCTTGTTGATTGTATTTTAGACATAGGGTTTCTACTCCCTAGTTACTTTTCCAACATAGGGTCTCTACTCCCTAATTGATGATATTTTAGATATAGGGTCTCCACTCCCTAGTCGCTTTTCCAACATAGGGTCTCCACTCCCTTGTTTATTGTATTTTAGACATAGGGTCTGCGCTCCCTAGTCGCTTTTCCAACATACGGTCTCTATTCCCTAGTTGATTTTATTTTAGACATAGAGTCTCCACTCCCTAGTCGCTTTTCAAACATAGGGTCTCCACTCCCTAGTCGCTTTTCAAACATAGGGTCTTCACTCCCTAGTTGATTTTATTTTAGACATAGGGTCTCCACTCCCTAGTCTCTTTTCCAATATAGTGTCTCCACTCCCCAATTGATGATATTTTTGACATAGGGTCTACACTTCCTAGTCTTCTTTTCCAACATAGGGTCTCCACTCCCTAGTTGATGTTTTTAGACATATGGTCTCCACTCCCTAGTTGATGATTATTTTAGAAATAGGGTCTCCACTCCCTAGTCGCTTTTCCAACATAGGGTCTCCACTCCCTAGTTGATGTTTTTAGACATATGGTCTCCACTCCCTAGTTGATGATTATTTTAGAAATAGGGTCTCCACTCCCTAGTCGCTTTTCCAACATAGGGTCTCCACTCCCTAGTTGATGTTTTTAGACATATGGTCTCCACTCCCTAGTTGATGATTATTTTAGAAATAGGGTCTCCACTCCCTAGTCGCTTTTCCAACATAGGGTCTCCACTCCCTAGTTGATTTTATTTTAGACATAGGGTCTCCACTCCCTAGTCTCTTTTCCAACATAGGGTCTCCACTCCACAGTTGATGATATTTTAGACATAGGGTCTCCAGTCCCTAGTCTGCTTTTCCAACATAGGGTCTTAACTCCCTAGTTGATGTTTTTAGACATAGGGTCTCCACTCCCTAGTCTCTTTTCCAACATAGGGTCTGCGCTCCCCAGTTGATGATATTTTAAACATAGGGTCTCTACTCCCTAGTATCTTTTCCAATATAGGGTCTCCACTCCCTAGTTGATGATATTTTGGACATAGGGTCTCCACTCCCTAGTTGATGATTATTTAGAAATAGGTTCTCCACTCCCTAGTCGCTTTTCCAACATAGGGTCTCCGCTCTCTAGTTGATTTTATTTTAGAGAAAGAGTCTCCACTCCCCAGTCTCATTTCCAACATAGGGTCTCCACTCCCTAGTTGATGATATTTTAGACATAGAGACTCCACTCCCTAGTCGCTTTTCCAACATAGGCTCTCCACTCCCTAGTTGATTTTATTTTAGACATAGGGTCTCCACTCCCTAGTCGCTTTTGCAACATAGAGTCTCCACTCCCTAGTTCAAGATATTTTGGACATAGGGTCTCCACTCCCCTGTCTCTTTTCCAATATAGGGTCTCCACTCCTTAGTAGATGATATTTTAGATATAGGGTCTTCACTCCCTAGTTAATTATTATTTTAGAAATAGGGTCTCTACTCCCTAGTCGTTTTTTCAACATAGGGTCTCTACTCTCTAGCGGAGTCTTTTGTTGGGCCTAGGCGATTGCTCAGAGACTTAAGGCGAGCTGCACCTCATGGATTCGTTTTGCAGTGACTGAGTCCCTGTCTTTTATTATCTCCTGTCTATTTTCTTTTTCTCGGACAAATTTGACTATGTATTCAAACTTGTACTTATTCAGTAGTTGAGTGTGTGCTTGTGTCACCTAGTTCTTGGAGGTTGTACTGTTTTGGTCGTGTTCACGCCATGTTCTGATTGTATCATATATTATATTGTATCGAGATCTTTTTCATATTTATTTATGATATGACTCCGTTAATTAAAGAAAATTAAATTTTATTCTATTGATTATGAGTTGGCTTGCTTAGCAAGTACGTTAGGCGTCAACATTACCTGAGGTGAAATTTTGGTTCGTGACATCCATAAATTTCTTTGCCAACTCCAAGAATTTTGAGATCGTGCACTGCCAAGGTAGTCAAAGGTCCGAATTCTTTTAAAAAAACAAATTAGCAACGATAATGTAATAATATAAACCTTTTTATATAACTCCCAATTGCTAGTTGTGGAAGAAGAAGAAGTAGGAAAACAATTGAGTTTTTCTTTCTTATTTTTGGTGAATTTTTAATAATTATACTTTGGATCAAATCGTATTTTTTTATAACTTTGAGGCTGATTTCGAATACTTCATAAAAAGAATTAACTTAATTAGCACTTATCATAAAAGAAATCTAAATATTTAAGAATTAAAAATTGAGGTTCAAATCCTTAGAAATAAGCCCCTACTACCNCAGCTGTAGCATGCCTTTTTATCAAGTACTAGCAGACGAAAAGATATTTACCACCATTGAAGTTTCTTAAGCTCCATATTACTACAAAATTCTGAACCCAAAAAAAAAAAAAAAAAAAAAAAAAAAAAAAAAAAAAAAAAAAAAANGAAGCACATATATAGAGCCTTCATTTTCACTCCTTTTTCCTGCCACCCTCATTTGAAAATCTTTAAGTATAATCCAAGTTTTACCCCTTTCTACAGCTCTCTGAATTGAAACTACTCAACTTCTCGGATTTACTCCTTCTCGACTAGCCTAGTAGACTATATTATATAGTAGGTCATTGGAAAGGACCCCATCAAATTGTTATAATTTGAGTTTTCGCACTGTATTTTGATCCGTTGGTGCATACATATCTTGAAAATTTGCCAGAAAAAGCTGTAAAATGGAGTCAACCCAAGTTAGATCCGCAAGTTGCGGAGGCAAAGCAGGAGAAACGGCAACCGGGTTTCATCATATTTGCGGTGAAGGCCAGAGCATAATAATGCCAGTACCAACGGAAGCTGCTGGAAATTCTTTTACTGCTTTACTTGAACTGCCACCAAATCAAGCTTTGGACCTTTTAGTACATTCTGACGAAATGGGTTCAGCTGAACTTTCCCTACCAGATAATCACAACAAGCCCTACTACTCTTCTCCTCTAATTGACGGAGGGTCCGCCGGAGAATTCGCCGGAGAGTTCTCAGTCTTCGCCGCCGGAAATTCGCCGGAGAATAGCTCATTTCCGTCCAATTCACAATTCGTGAAGCAAGAACCAGTTGATTCTGATTCCAATCCTAATTCCTCTCCCGAGTTTTCAAATCCAACTGTTGATCAGAAAACCACAAAGCGAAAAGAACGCCAGAAAAAGGTTAATTATATGTGACATTTTTTTTTTAATATAGGAACTTCTATCACTTCATTATAATTATTTTAGGGCGCGTTTGGCTATAAATTCTTTTTCGCTTTTTTTGTTTGGCCTTAAAATTTTTTGAATTTCGAAATTTTTTGAAAATTTTAAAAAATCTAAAAAATTATTTTTCAAAATTTAATTTTTAAATACTATTTTCAATTTTGTTTTTCACTTTTTTCCGGAATTTCACAATTCTTATATCGAAATGCCTAAGTTAACATGTAATTTCACCTCTATATAACTACTTAATTATGATAAATTATTGGTTTATCACAAAGAATGGTATTGTTCAAGTTTAAATTCTGAGTGAATTATGATTTGATATATACGAAGTCTGTGTTTTGATGAATAAATTATGTGGAATTTAGGGGAAAGAAAGCAGTAGCAAAAAGAGCAAAAGATCGGCAAATGATACCTCAGAGAAGCTTCCGTATGTTCATGTCCGAGCAGCTAGGGGGCAAGCAACAGATAGCCATAGTTTAGCTGAAAGAGTAAATTGTTTTTGCAGGATTAGTTCTGATAATGTTTTGTTAAATTTGGTTATAACGAGTGTTAATCAAGATTGTTTAATTGACTTAATTTTTAAATGTATGTGTGTAAGGCAAGGAGAGAGAAGATTAATGCAAGAATGAAGCTATTACAGGAATTGGTCCCGGGATGTAACAAGGTTAGTTGTCGATTTCTATCACTAATTATCAATTAATTTTGTACTAAGTTGTAGTAATGCACTAATGCGTTTTGAAGTTTGTGATTAGGTGATGGGATTATAAAAGGGTTCTTTTTTATATTTGCTAATTTTTTCTATTTATTTTTTTTGTGTGTGTGCTATTCTAGATAGTTGGGTCGTTTTCATCTGTTTAATGAAAAAAGGTGGTATCTTTTGCACCAAGAAAAGTGGTATTTTTTAAGTGTATTTCTTACTGTTCATTCAGCTTTTTGATTTGCACATGATGATCAATTTATTTTTACTCTGCTCCTATTCTGAGGTTAATCTTGTCATTTCACTGAAGTTTTGTGTTCATTTTAGTTTTTGTTCTTAGACTTTCATATGAATACTTTTATAAAATATGGAGAAAGAGGAAGAAATTCAAAAATAGCCAGATTTACAAGTAGTAATTCAAAAATAGTCACAGTTTCAAAAGTAATCGAAATTTAGCCACTTTTCATGTAAAGATATATCTGAACGAAAACACTGTTCAAAATACGAAAAATATTTCAGCATAATATACTGGAGTTCCAGTATAATATACTGGAACTCCAGCATATTATACTGGAATTTCAGTATAATATACCGGTCTGGCATAATATGCTGGAAGTTCATATACAGGTGTTTCAATCTCCAGTATATTATGCTGGAACTTTCCGCGTGTTGGAGTTGTAGCATAATATGCTGGAAGTTCATACATAGGTACACCAATCTCCAGTATATTATGCATTTATGCTGGACCGGTCCGTTTTGCAGCAAAATAGTGGCTATTTTTCAATGACTTTGCAAACGTTGGCTATTTTTGAATTACCAGTTCGAAAACTGGCTAGCCCATGCTATTTTTACGGAGCAAGACATTCGATCCACAAATATATATATATATATATATATATATATATATATATATATATATATATATATATATATATATATTGCTCGGGTCCTTTAAAAATAACGGTGGATGCGTGTCGAATTTCTCCAAAAGTAATGAATTTTCAAGAATCTATAGTATTTTGGAGGATCGTAGCAAACACAGACAAATATAATGTAGATGCTGCTATAATTTTGAAAATATGAAGGCCCTTTCCCAAAGACATGTGTTGATGATATCTTGCTGAGTATAACTTTTCATAATTTACTCATATGATATAATGTAAGAGGAAGAAGGATGAACTGACATGTAGATTGCAACTTAATTAAGTTGTACTCTTTATGGGTCCAGTTGTTACCTACCTGTTGCAATTGAACTTGTTTTGTAGTCTGAGTTTTGTACCAAAACCTTCAAGATTTTAATTAGTAACCAAAAGAGCTAGTTTGGTGTAAAACACATTGTACAAGTTTGAAGTTGTGATGAGATGACCTGACAAGCCTCTATACCAAACTTTAATTGATGATGAGGCGGCATTGCAAAAAACAACTGAAAATTAGACCAGACAGATAATCTTTGAGTTTTATTCTATTTATTTCAGCACAGTATTGATTCTTTCAGATTTGATAGATAGAGGATACTGTCTAAGTTGCACAACTTAATCAGATCAGTACACAGAAGTTCAAAAACCTCGGGCCAGCAACATGATTTTGGGATGCTTGCATATAATACCTGGTGTCATGTATCAAAGTAGTGTATCCATCATAATCTGTTTGTGAAAGGATTTTAAGTTATATACACTAATAATATAAAAGAATTTTTATACTATCGTATGTTACTTTACTACTCTATTTTCAAGTTACTATATCAGGCTAACCATGAAAGGTTACCTGTTGTGTAAAAATGCACAAAACTTAAAACTCTTTGAAATATAGGCGTAATTAATTCAAAGCCAATATAGTACTTTGGGATTCTTGATTGATTCAATTTGGAGTCCTCTAAAGGGTCGTATGTAGGTACTGTATAGCGTCCACAGAAATAATTAAAAACTGTAGTTTACTATCTTTAGAATAGGTAAGTTGAACCATAGAAAGGAAAACCTATTTTGCTTTACAATGGTTTGTTTTTCTTCCAGGCAGTTAATGCAGTGTATGTTTGCCTTTCTTGGCAGTGAGGGTATTCACCTGGTGGTCCATATATATATATATATATATATATATATATATATGGCATTATTTCTCATGGCGTTTAGATCAAACTGTAACCTTATACCCATTTACCTACCGTGCATATCATTTGCATTTGTTTATTAGATGTTTATACTTGATAGTTAGCTCTTTCTTTGATTTTGATTATGAATAGTAGCTCATACATGAAATATATGTTATAACTCCTTGTCAGAAAAATATTATAATTCCTTAAAATCTTTCAAAATAAATGAGAAACCAAAAAACATCCAACTCATGGGAAAAAAAACATCCAACAAGCAACAATTTAAAACTGATTTTGAGACACAAGTTTAACACGGATTTCATCTCATATTGATATTAATTAACTTTATCTCTAGAAAGTTTTATGCTTGTTCACATAAAAAGAAAGTATCTAATGAACTAATTATTCGTTAAAGTATAATTTATCAGAAGTTCTATACATTTGATTACTTTCCCTTTTTATAGTGTAAGCACTTGGAAGACTGATGTTTGCAAACAAATAATTTCAATCAAATTTAGTAGCACATTGTGAAGATTGGACTATGTTTTGCAGATTTCAGGTACTGCGATGGTGCTGGATGAGATCATTAACCATGTACAATCCCTACAGCGTCAAGTGGAGGTAAGACCTTGAAAATCCTCACATCTTATTTGTTAGTGCGGAAATCTTGAATTTTCAATATTTGTTGTTACTTCATATGTGAAAATTCCAATAATGATTCTTATTGTGACTCCCTCTAGTTTTTAGTATTACATGGAGAGTAAGTCAGCTTTGGATAGTAAATATATAGTATTCGAACCTTGTTGCCTTCATGCCTTATCTCCTGTTTCGTTTAGACATACTTTTAGGAGTGTGGTCGAAGATAGTCATAGATCAAGGTTATCCCATTTAAGAAGTGAACGTTCAAAAAATTGTGTTGCCTATTTTCTTGTTTTTGGATTATATTTAAGTGGTATCGGTTCTTTTCCTGAAGGAGGTTTGTTTGGCTTGCAGTTCTTATCAATGAGACTTGCTGCAGTAAACCCAAGAGTAGATTTCAACCTTGATAGTCTCTTTGCTACAGAAGTAAGTTTTCCCTTCCTCATCAACTTACTTAAATTGGGAGTTACATAAACAGTTTGTGGTTGCAACTTTTGCTTTAACCCACTTTATCAATTCTGACTTGTATTATTGTATTTAGGGCTGTTAAATTTCTTGGTCCCACCTTTAAAATCTTTAAAGGGCTAGTTTCAACCAACCTAATTGTCAGAAGAGTGGTCAATTGTGGACCAACCATTATTATTTGCCAGTCTGTGCACATTTACACCATAGAACTGTTCATATGGAACATGATCAATTGAAGGGTTGCCTGTTACCATACCATAATGTTGTTAGCCTTGGGAGTTACCTTTGTCAGACTCAATTTAAGTGGGTCCTCAATTCATTAAATCAGTGAACAGAGAATTGGCAAGGGTATCTCTACAATCAACCTTATCAAAAGTTATGAGCCATCTCACACTGTCTTTTCTACAATGCTGGAAATGCAGAAATATGTTGAAGTGTCATGTTTTGCTGCAATATATTAGGGATTAAGGCGTCGTGGATTGACTGATAATGATTAAAATCATAACAATCGATGGTTGGATTTTGAATTCACTTGCTTTTGTGCTTTATTTCAAAGTCTAAGCTTTTTTTCTAGCTTTAGATTGATATCTGTAAATTGGCCTTAGCGTCTAAAAAATGTGATAATTTATGTTCATAAGTTCAGAGTATCATACCCGTAATAGTCTTTATTAAAGAGAAAAGATCGTTGCTGTAATTTATACTTAGTTTTCATTTGCTTTTGAAAAATAGCAGAGTGGTTCTGCAGTGGATAGTAACTTCGCGAGCATAGTTGCGCCTTCGATTTGGCCTGAAGGACAAACCAGCGGGAATAGAAATCAGTATCAACAGCTGTTGCAAATTGATGGATTCAATCAGCCTGTCTGGGTTAGGGAAGAAGATAATTCTAGCTTCATTACTCCAGAGAACTCATTTTTGACTTATGATTCCTCTGCAAATTCAGGTAAATCCTGGTACTGGAAAACATAGGGAAATTTTATGTGAAAGTAGAACCAGTGACTATTGCTAACTTCGCGGTCTGTTGATTATGTGCAGCTTCTTTGCACCAAAATCAGCTGAAAATGGAGCTATGAATGTAGAGGCAAGGCTTTTTCCTAGTGGTTTAGCCATGTATATATCGGACATAAAGGTTTATAGGAGGCAGCATTGGAGTAGAAGGTTAACGTTATGAGTTTCCATTTCAGGTTGATCTCTGCTAGATTTGTGTATACTAACATAGAGGAGTCATTCTCTCTGATTGATTCACAATTGTACTACAAGAAGGATTATTAGCAATTACATATTAAACTATTTCGTTTGGTTTCTCTTAATCTCAAAAACACTTTTGCCCTTACTAGTATAGGAATATAGGTTGTGTTGAAACACAATATGGCCCATATCATTGACCAAACTGGCGGTAGAATGGGAGTCATATTTTTCCTGTTTACCGGGCCGACCAACCTTTTCAACCAAGCATACTCGTCTCCTTAGAGGGACCACCAGCTTCATGAGAAGAAACGTTGGGCAATGGTTCCGGAGTTGAAGGAGGGGGAGTCAGTTTCGGTAGGTTGGACCTCATATGCGGAACCACCAAAACCAACAGCAAACAAGGCTTCAACCGACTCGAAGGATGCATCGTTGGTATGCTCTTCTAAATTCCCTCCCTCATCATCCTCCAACATGAAGATAGGGAGGGGCATCATAGGAGGTGAAATTGAGTATCAGAGGGACTAGCTCAGGGAATGCTCCGGCTATCCTCCGATCCTTTAGTTTTCTTCTTGCTCGATCTAGTTCTCTTCTTGAGAGGACTAACGGGATCATGTGCCAGCACGAAACTTGATGATTCCTTGATGTTTCGCTTCTAAGCGGCCACTCTCCAAATTCATTCTTGACCTTCGTTGGCTGCATGCTTATCAATCGAATCACTAGATTGAGCTCTCCGTGACCCAAGTCCTATAATAGCGGATATTACATACAAAATTGTATACGAGAAAGCATACACCCATATCTCGAAAACTCATCGTGACTTTTAGCTTTCTATCCAAAAACGTCATCGATGTATTTCCAAGTCCTTTGCTCCAATTACAACTTTAACATTAGTTTGGTAGAACTAGTGTCGGTTATGAGGAATATTAAGGAAGTTAGGTTCCCAAAACCAATCTGATTGGATCCTAGCCAAAGAGATCTTAATCTATGGTGTGAGTTCCATGGAACTCACTGTCACGGGACTGGGGATTGTCGACATCTTCATGAAGGAGTAGCAACATTATTGAAGAATGGTCATCTTAAGTGATCGGGCCAAGAACAACTATGGGAAAAACTGAGATGTTGCAGAACCATCAAAACCGGCTGCAGGGTCACCTTATATGACGATAAACATGATCTTCAGTGGAGACGAAGTAAATAGGGTGAAATTTTTGGCAGGAAAGAAGACGAAGATATCGGTAACTCATGGCAAGAGGATCCGAGAATTCTCAAAAGATGACATCACATTTATAGAAGAGGATGTTGATGGACTTTTTCTACCACACAACGACGCTTTGGTATTTTCTCCAGTCTTTTTCTGTGTACAGTGACTTCAGATAATTGGCAATCTCCATCGACCTGAAAAGTATATGTCGCTCATTCAAAACTGTAAGGATGACGTTTCTTTTTCCATAAGGGTCTTGAGTGGGTGCCGAGTAAGTATTTCCTAAATTTTCATGGTCGGGTGGCCGTGGGGAAGGAACATCTTCCATTTGTTTGGATTGCGCTGGTGGAGAGGTAGCAACTGGTGTAGAAGGAGAGGCAGTTGTTATCGGCTCAGAAGTTGGTGGTGGAGGAAGATCAGGAATTGAACTCCTTTGACCGGAGGCGTCGCTAGGAGTCAAAAAATGAGAATCGATATTTTCAACCAAATCCATTTCGATAAAGAGCCTTTGAACTTCCCATGGTAGTGGTATTCAAAGCTCTCCCGCTAAGCATCTGGTTGAACTGATGAAGATCTTTTTCTTCTTTGAAGAGGATCCACTTCATCATCATTTCCTTCATCAACAAAGACCACTGTGGCAAGTCCGGTTGGTGTTTCTTTCACATTCTTCTCATGAGTCCCAGCCGATGAGGTACGTTTCCTCTTTGGTTTCTTGTTTTTGGGCTGGGGACTACGGGATGAGGTACCTTCACCAGAAGTGAGAGTAGATTCACGAGCTCTCCTCCGGTTAAGGGTATTTTGCAATACTCGTTCGACTTCCACTAGGTCACCGAGAGCCTCGATATCGGGGCAAACAACGAATCCCTTCGGAAGTCCTATGTTGTACAAAAAGATAGTTAATAAATAGATTCTAAGTTATGTTGAAAGATTGAAAGAAGGGAGGAAGAATATTTGTTTACCATGGTTTTTGGCTTTCCACCCATATTTGGGGGCCATTTCTTTTCACATTCGTGCTTCCGGTGTAGTAATATCCAGAATTTTTTGTACCCATTGTGCCAGATCCTGAACCCCTCGTGGTTCCCAATAAGTAGCTCGAATAAGAAAAGTGCAAGGTTAATAAAGCTGGAAAATCTTTTTAAATATGGAAAGGAAAAGATATCAGATGACTTACAAAGAAGATTCTATGATTTAGGAAAAGCAGGTGATGTAGTTGGGAGGATGTCTCCGGTAGTAATAACAACGAACTGTTTCATCCATCCACGGTCGTTGTCATCATCAACGCTAGTAAGGAGAGCATCATAACCGCATTTGTTAAGTTTTAGCACACCCCCCACGGAAGATATTTGAGGAGTAGAGATTCATCATGTGAGCAAGAGTTAGGGTTTCCCCGGTCTTAGAGCATAATTGGCAGAGGCAAGCCACCATACGCCATACTGATGGGCATGCTTGTGCGAAACAACTTTGGTACCGGTGACAAAATTTCAAAATTATTAGGTCGATTTCTTTAGCCACTCCTAAAGTTAAGGGGTATGTATAAATATACATGACCCTGGTTTGGAGAAGGTGAACCTTTCTATGTCACTAGGAGCGAAGATTTCAATATTATTCCATTCGCAGTCTTCCTTCACAACAGGGATGTTGGAAAGACGAATGGAAGAACGGTACCTACGAACGGGCCAGTGTCTGTCACTTTTGGGGTAAATGAGATCTTTTTTGTTCTTGAAGATCAGATTTGGTGTTAAGTTGAAGGGGTATGATGGAGTTCATGCTGGGAGGTTCAGACTCGACATCGACCTCTTTTGTTTTGTTCTTCTTTAGGCCTCCAACGAAGAGAAGGCCAGAATTTCCAAGGGCATCAGTGTTAGAAGACATAATGGTAAGAAATTTGTGAAGAAAGATTTTATTGAGAGAATTGAATTTTGCAAGTAGGGTTCTAAGGTAAATCGGAGAAGAGGAAGGAGTTGTAAAGGTGGAAAGTAAAAATTATGAGTGATGAAGAAGATTATAGACGACAAAAATCATGGTCATAATTACCTCAAAAAGTGAAAAAAATATTTGCCAAATCGTGGGATAACATCGTTAAATGCGAAGAGACGTGCGTCCTTACAAGTGTCAGAAACTATTCAGAAATTTGCCCGCTAAGGAAAGAGGTTTTCTCTACATTCCGGTAACACTAAAGGATTGTCACCAAAAAGTAGGGGGCGTGTTATATACGGTGAAATTGTTTTGTGACAGTTAGATGAATGAGGAGATGACACGTGGAGCTGAAGACATGTAAGATGTAAGTTAGAAAATAGTTGATAGCGGTTGCAAGCATGTGACTGATGCTGGATGAATTTCGAAGACAGGGTAACCGATAATAAAAATTTGAAGAATTTATATCGGATAGTATTCAATGAGCAGCCATTACAGAGAATATCTGCATTTATAGCCACCCATTATGCATCCATCAATGACTTTTTTATTCTCATTAAAGAGTAGCATGATTGGGGAGATCTTGTCTCCTTAAATACATTTATAAATAAGAGAATTTGTATCCATTGTTGGACACAACATTCTGTACACAAAAGCTTGAATTAGCTCTCATTCTACAACTAGTACCTTATTCTTAATATTGTTCATACTTCTATTACCGGAGAGACTAAGTTCATAGCCAGGCTTGTATTTGCTTAAAGTTTATTTTATAATCTTATTTCAGTTCTTATTTATTTTATAATTCTGGATCAAATTAATTCACGTGTCTATAAACCGCGTTATAAATTCAACTGTATCGTTTTACAGGCAAATACGTGTTTCAGGCATTAAATAGAAACGGTGCATGCCATTTTACTTCTGGAACACGTCACTGAGATTCTGGAACAAGGTTTCAGACACGCTTCTATTTCCCGCCAAAACTTCTTATCACTTCCCGAATAGTCATTAGTGATTATTGAAAAGTTTGGGGGAGAGGTAAAAATTGCATGGGGTGCCCTATTTGGTCGCCCCCATTTAACTTATACCCATATTTTTAAAATTATTTAACCTATACCCTAATTTTGACAACTTCAGATCCTGTGACCTATGTCCAAGAAAATCGGGTATTCAACTTCATTCATGCCAGAACCAGACGTGCAAGTTTCCCCGCATGCGCTCATTTTTTCCTCCTCTTCTTTTCCTCTTCTTTTTCTTTTCTCTCTCAAACATGTTATCTTGTAAGTTACACATGTTATCGTTTCTGAAAATTGGACAAAGAGACAAATCAAGAAGAAAGAAAGACTCGCCACTGCCTTTCAAACATTAATACATCCCAACACAAAGTACGTAAATAATAAAACAAGAATTTATTGTCAAAACTCAAAAAAGTATCAACTGAAGTTTGGGACTGCAGGGACAAACTTCAGATATTACCGGATTAAATTTTGTCTGAAGTTTACAACTATCATGTCAAGAAAAATTATCTGAAGTTCAAATATAATAAGCTGATTTTGTTTGAAGTTTGCACTACAAACTGAAGAACTTCAAACTAATTTGTCTGAAGTTTGCACTACAAACTGAAGAACTTCAAACTAATTTGTCTAAAGTTTGCACCCCAACACAAAGTACGTAAATAATAAAACAAGAGTTTATTGTCAAAACACGAAGAAGTATCAATTGAAGTTTGGGACTGCATGGCCAAATGTCAGACATTACCAAGTTAAATATTGTCTGAAGTTTGCAACTATCATGCCAGGAAAAATTATCTGAAGTTCAAATATGATAAGCTGATTTTGTCTGAAGTTTGCACTACAAACTGAAGTTTTTTTGATTGATTTTGCAAGTCAGGCCAAACTTCAGATGAAAATTTCTGAAGTTTTACTTTTGATAAGGTCACACTTCAGGTAAAAAATTTTGAAGTTCAAACTTCAGACATAAATTCGTGCTACTTCAGGTCCAGTATGTCTGAAGTTACTCGAAAAGTGGGTACGCTTGCAACTTTTTTTGCAAAGCGGGTTTAAGTTAAATCGTGACCCAAAAACTGGGTATAGATGCAAATCCCCCGGGGAGAGGGGACTATCTATATTTGTAAAAAGTGGGCCTACTACGTGGATAAATAAATCATTGGCACATGATGTACGATGCTAAATCGCATGCACGAAAATGACCAATAGGTTGGAAGGTTACTTGAAGAACGAATTCGAGATCAGTTGAAGTCAAAATTATTGATACCAGGTTCATTGATATTGATTCCGGTAAAGAGTCATATGTACGAAAAGAAATAAAAAAATACTCAATCCCAAATAAGAAGGGATTCGACATTAATTACGGAGCAATTACAAATTCTTTAAGCGTAATATGCGAAAACTGTGGAGTAATGAGGATAACAGGCAGACGAGATATCATGGAACGGTTATGAAAAATCTTATTATTTAAACTTGCACCTTTCTCACTTTGTAATCCATCGGAAGACTCTTGTACTTTCTATAATCATTATATTAAATTGTTACTAAGCTAGCCACATATCTTCGAGCAGAAGCAGGATCAATAAGAATTATCCTTTTCTTTTATTCACTTTTAATATTGTTCTTTAATTTTTGGTTAAAGATTAAAAGTTTATTAGCCAAAGTATCAATATACACAACCTGCTCATTAGCCAAAGTCAGGCTCTTTCAAAAATAATCAAAGAAAAACGACTATGAATTCCTATTGCCACACGGCTAGTTACTGTGCTTCACACCTTCTAGGAAGGGTCTAAGCATAGCAGCTGCCTCCAAAGCTAGATCATTCAGCAAGGATAACTATTTAGTCTTTCTAATGTGTGTTTGCTATTTGTGCAGTCATTGCCCTACACTGTGTAACTGTAGTGCTATTTCCTTGAGCCTATCACAGCTCTCGCTTGGTTTGCTGGAATCTCCTATTATTTCTTTCTACCCATATGTGATATACGACTGTTGTAAATAAGAACCTCAGTACTGCACCAGTGGAGCTTCTGTTTTTGACATTCTGATATAGCCGAGCTACTTCATTGTCCTATTGATTGTTCTATCTAGTAATGCTCATACTTCCTTAGAATATGAGCACTGGAAAAATAGGTAGCTATGAGTCTCATCAATACCAGAGTAGCCTTTTTCTCCTCAATTAGTTGTGGATTAAAGTCAAGGCGGACCTACCTTAGGGTTAGGGGGCCACCGGAATCCGTTAGCCTCGGAAAAAATACTGTAAATATATTTTATATATATTTATATATACACTGGGGACCACTTAAATAATTTATCAGGCCCCCTAAATAAACAAAAGCAAGTCAGACACGTTGGTTTTGTAGCTTGTTTATACACTTTAGTTACTTGAAGGTTCCAAGTTTGAAACTTGACTTCTGTACTTCTTCTGTTTTTTACTTTTTTTTTTTAATTCTTTAATACGTGTACTGTTGCACACAAATACACAATAGTCACCCTAAAGTCTTAACTTTTATCATTTTCCAAACTAAAGAACAAAACCTACCTCTCTTCTCCAAACAGACCGTTCCACCCTTTTGCTAAAAAACAAAACCTTTTTTTCAATTAACCCTATAACCTAAAGTCTTAACCTTTATGCTTTTCCAAACTAAAGAACAAAACCCACATCTCTTCTCGAAACAAACCGCTATACCCTTCTGTTAAAAAACAAAACCCTTTTTTTAATTAACCCTATTTAGCTTCTGCTCAAGCTCGAATCCGATAATCGGCAGTCCGAATCGGCGACGACTACTGGGTGTGAGGCTCTTCTTCAACTGAAATAGTAAGTTTATTTGAGTAAAATCTTGATTTTATTTGAGTAAAATCTTGATTTTATTGAGTAAGTTTTGTTTTCATTTGAAAATATTAACTTAGCAAAATAATTTGGTATCAAAAATTTACTTTCTGCAAAGAGTCTTAGAGCCAAAAAGTAAATGCCAAATTAATTTTGTAGGCATTTGAATATTGTGTGCTAATGTTATTTTGAAATATTCTTTCAGTGAAGTGTTTCTTTTCAAAAAAAAACTTTGAATTAGGGCTTTTTTTTTTATAGACTAGAGTGAAATTTCGAACTTGTTTAATTTAATTAATACTTGTTCTCATAGTAGTTATACTAAGCAGTAAGCCTTTATTATAACTTGAATATGGGAAATGTTTTATTCACAAAGTGTCGTAGTATAACTTTAATATTTTTGCAGGGTTTGCCGTTTGCATATTACAAGACAAGATCAATTATATTATATTTTGCTGAACTAAAAGCCTCTTTACTTCAAGGATAAAAAATTTCACAAATTGGTAAGTGTTCCTATTTTAAAGGGTGTAATTTCTCTATTTTAAATGTTGTGTTTTCTTTTTTCTTGATAGAAGGGGTGTGATTGAGTAATTCCCCTGTTATATTCTCTTAGTGTTGTTCTTGATAGAAGAGGTGCGATTCCACTATTGAAAGTTTGCTTTTATTCTTGATGGACACTTAAATTGAATTGAACCATTGTTTTGTAGGAAGTTCTTGTTCTTGTAACTTGATATGGACGTATTTTTTTACGTGGTTTAATTCTTCTCAACCAAGTTCTAGTTTTAGAGAGAATTCCTTCCGTCTAGTCGATGAATTTGATGTGGAATCACTAAATCCCGACCCCGGAGAGAGAATACCCATTGATAAATATAGCCTTAGAATATGAGATGAAGTGAGAAAATACTATATTAAACAAGGGCCTTGCCAACCGGTTGATTACAAATTCCCTAAAACTTTATTCGGAAAGAAAATGCGTTAATTTAGTCCGGGTTGGTTTAAAGATTCAAACTCTAGATGGTTGGAGTATAGTGTGAAGAAAGATACGGCATTTTTTTATGTTGCTATTTATTCAAGAATGATTATGTCCATGGAAGCACAGGTGACTCTTTCACAAAAACTGGCTTTAGGGCTTGGAATAAATCTTCGGAAAGACTTACTTTACATGTTGGTGAAGTAAATAATCTCCACCATAAGTATTTCAATAAGATGCTAGACTTGTCTAATCAATCTCAGTCAATTCAAGTTGTTTTTAACAAGCAATCCGAGAAACAAAGAAGTGATCACTGAATTCGTTTAAATACCTCAATTAATGTTGCAAGGTTCCTCTTGGAATTTGGATTGTCTTTTCGAGGTCACGATGAAAGTGAATCTTCCAAAAATAAAGCCTTTTTCTAGGGCTATTGGAATGGCTTGCAAAGAGGCTTCCGGATGTGGATAGAGTTATATTAAAACATGCTCCAAAAAATGATATGATGACTTCACCAAAAATTCAAAAGGATATTGTTAGCCCTTATGCACAAGAAACTGTGAAAGCTATAATTGATGACTTGGGAGGGGATTATTTTGGGATATTAGTTGATGAGTTCAAGAATATTTCATACCATGAACAAATGGCCCTTGCTTTGCGGTATGTTGACAAAAAAGGCCAAGTGAATGAGCCATTTATTGGTCTTGTTCGTGTTGGTGATACATCTGTAAAGTCATTGAGGGAAGCAATATATTCTTTACTGTTGAAACACTCATTAAGTCTATCTAAAATATGTGGACAAGGATATGATGGAGCTAGTAACATGCAAGGAAAGGTGAATGGTCTTAAAGCTTTAATTTTAGAACAAACTCCATCGGCATATTGTATTCATTATTTTGCGCATCAATTGCAATTGACACTTGTAGCTGTGGCTAAAAAATATAAGAAGGTGGAAACTTTCTTTGTTATAATTGCTAACGTGTTGAATGTAGTTGGAGAATCTTTTAAGCGTAGAGATCAACTTCGTGATCATCAAGCAGAATTGTTGGAGAAATTGCTAGAGAGTGGTGAACTTCAAAGTGGTAAATGATTAAATCAAGAGCGAGGGCTTCAAAGGCTAGGTGACACTCATTGGGGATCACATTGTAGAACGTTGGATAACTTTGTTGTTTTATTTTCATCTATTATTCATGTGCTTGAGGTGGTTGAATGTGAAGGTTCTGAGGCTGATGATAGATTACAAGCAGAAGCGTTTTTGAGTAAAATCAATGCATTTGACTTGTTTTCTTGCTTCACTTGATGTTGAAAGTGTTGATGATGTCGAACGAGTTGAGTAAAGCTTTGCTGAAGAAAGAGCAAGATATTGTTAATGCCATGGTATTTCTTGACCTCACAAAGGAAAGGTTGCAAGTAATGAGAGAAGATGGATGGGTGTCATTGATGGATGACGTTTCTTCATTTTGTGCTAAACATGATATTGTGGTACCCAATATGGAAGAATTCTATATTCCTGGAAAGTCAAAGCATAGACCTTCTACTGTTACGTATTCACATCACTTATGTGTTGATCTTTTTTATTCTGTGATTGATTTGCAGTTTCAGGAGCTTAACAGTCATTTTGATGTTGTGAGTAGTAACTTTCTTCTTGGTATGGCTAACTTGAATCCGGTTAATTCATTTGCTAATTTTGATAAGGAAAAAATAATGACATTGGCCAAGTATTATCCAGATGAGTTTGGCGAATTGAAGCTTTGAGATCTTAGTCACTAACTTGACACTTTCATATTGCACATGCGACGTGGTGACCTTAGGTTTTCTGATTTGAAAGGAATTGGTGATTTGGCAAAAGCCTTGGTTGAGGCAAATCTTGCAGAGAGTTATTCACTTATTTATTTACTTGTAAAGTTAACTCTAATTTTGCCTATCGCGACTGCAACGGTGGAAAGAGTATTTTTATCCATGAAGTACATCAAAGATGAATTACGTAGTAGTATTAGTGATACATTTTTAAATGATTATTTAGTTTGTTACTTTGAGAAGGAAGTATTTACAAATGTAAGTAATGATGCTATTATTGACCGTTTTCAAAATATGAAAGCGCGTCGAGTTCAAGTATGAACAAACGATATACTTTTGTTATATTAGTATCACATTGATGATATTCGATAATATTAAAGTTTGTATTTTGCTGATAAGTTATCATATATGTTTTCATATAGTTGCGCCGAACTTTATCACTAGTAATTGGCATGTTTAAGACAATGGTGCCCCCGTCCTGCTCAAATCTTAAGTCCGCCTCTGATTAAAGTAGTCTTCATTCAATGTTTCCTGGGTGTTTTTCAACTGCTCCCTTAACTTTTTCAGCTTAAGTTCTATAGAAGACATTGCTTTGTACATATCTCTGGTGGATTCCTCCACTAGCTTCAACTTCCTCCACATAGTATACATAGTGTTATCCCCGAATGTCATGCTCCCAAGTATTGTTTACTGCTTCCCTATAACCTTCTTGTTTTAGCAATACATTGAGGAGTCTATATGGTCGTTTTCCCTTTGTCTTTTTACCTATGTATTAAGGAGGATAGATGTCACGATCCAAACTGATGGGCCGCGACGAATACCCGATACCTTACTCAACTGGGTACCAACGCAACGTATCTTTCGTATCATACTATCATAGGTAATTGAGTCGGAGAGGCTGTCGTGAGATAAGTAGAACAAAACATGAGAAAATACTCAATATAGGGTTACCCAACTTGATATTCCGACTTATACATATTACGTACTGGCCTATAAGGCCATACCAGTATCCGTATATATGACATCTGTCTACAAGCCTCTAAGAGTACATAAATATCATAAAGGTCCGGACAGAGCCATGTCATACCAAACAATACATATTCAAATCATACTGACCAAATAGGCAACTTTGGAGCAAGTGTAGTGCACAAACACCTTCTGCTGAGTTGATAGCCTACTAAGAGAACTCTCAACCTATTTATCGGGACCTGCGGGCATGAAATACAGCGTCCCCAGGTAAAAGGGACGTCAGTAAAAATTAGGTACCGAGTATATAAGGCATGACAGTAGTATATAAAAGATATGAAAGAAACATGGAGTAAAGAACTCAACTTGTACTTCTGAATAGCTCTGTGAATCATGAAAAATTATAATGTCATGCATGTGTGTATAAATGCCATACCATACATAGGTATATGCGTACATAATATCATCAAGCCTCTGAGGGCATCCCATCATATCATCTCAGCCACTGTGGGCAAAATCATCAACGTATACCAGCTGATCAGGTGGTGGTGCGTATATAACGCCTTAACTTTTTTCCATATCCCATATACATATAATATATGCGTATATAACGCCTTCTGGTCATGGGTCAATGTACATATATAAATGCATGAAATGCATAAGAAATACGTTAATAAGATTTCTCGAATATCATAAAATTAATATTCCTTTCGGACAAACTTTATCAAATACATATTTTTCTGGGACCCATGAACAGATGATATAATAATAATTCACATGGGGAATCAAGAATATATACACCCCTAGTATTTCTATGAATAGAGTCATTTATGAAAGTTGAGTATTTTGCTCGTTTCGTTTGTATCATTTGGATCATGCCAAAAGAAAGAAGAGATAGCCTTAATATACCTGGAGTAGGGAAAAATTAGTATGATGTTCTAGAAAAAGGTTGCACCGTACTCCTTTAGAACCGCAAAATTTTACGTTGCTATTACGTAGTATAACTTTGTATGAAATCTCACGTTTTTGAATTCTTGAAGATCCATGAAATCTCACGTTACTGAATTATTTTGAAAGCTCACGTTACTGAATATGAAGCTCACGTCCAAAGCCTTGGAGTTCAAAATGAATTCTTTCAAGTTTCAAATGAGTTCTTTCAATGTCTTGCTTGGTAGGCCCCACTTGACTTTAATGCTTAGTAAGACCACTTATTTCAAAGTGTGACACCAATGTATAATACTTATTAGTCATACCAACCTTTAGTTGTCATGGTCCCACATGGACAAGACAATTATTACTCCTACCCACTTTTGCCACTTTCCTTAGTTCTAATTCACGTTTCTTGTGAATTGGACTTGAAGATTGTGAATTAATCATTCTTGTATGAAATTAGTTGAATTTAAGAAGTCTTTCTTTAGTGGGTGTGGGCCCCACTAGGTGATGACTTAGCTAGGAACCCCTCCAAAATTTGCCACTTTTTTTTGTGCGAGTTAATACTCATCATCAAGGCCCCTTTGGGCAGCCACGTTAAGGGGGGTTAGACTTATCCAAATATTGTAATTAATTAGCTAATCTCCCACCAAAAATTATTAATTAACTAGGTAATATCCCATTAATCAATAATTAACTAATTACTTACATAACTAAGAATTATCTCCACTTACTTAAAATACTACTCACTTTTAACATACCTTATACACTTTACTATCATGGCCATGTGGTACCTTGTATAGTACTAGTCCATAAATATCGGGTATTTTAGCTCGGCCGTATTTTATCCCAAAATGTCAAATTTCTACGAAATTTATTTTCTTCGATTTGCTTACCCTCTCACCTTTACGAATTTACTCATGACTTGTTTGAAATAGCATAAAATGCTTATAATCTTAAAATAATCCCATACCCGAACTTACGTCGATTAACTTACGATGAAACTTTAACGTACGAAAAATGCGAGATGTAATATCTCATTTTTGAGCTTTCATCAATTTACTTATGGAGTACTTTCACGTAGGAAAACATGGGGTGTAACATTATTCCCCCCTTTGGAACATTCGTCCTCGAATGTTGACTGGTGCACTTATTATTTTTATGTCTTCCGAATACTTTAGTACTCTCCTTGCCATCTAGGCAATTGTTCTGTGAATAAATCCAAGGTCCAGGGTATTCCCACCTGTAGGTCTCTTTCTCACACCACGACCTGTGGTTGGAATTCTTCTAATCTCGTAACTCTACCTTCTGTCATGTAGCATGTACGACTTTTTTCTTACATGTGCGCCTATGTGACTCTTCTCCCCCTTTTCCTCCAGTTTTTGGCCAATCTCTAGGCTTCACTTTGTAAACATATACAGAGTTTGACAGGATGTCCCTCTAGGCATCTATGGGTATACTGAAGTTCTTCCTTCAGTACTTTGTTGAACTCACGAATATTGCTATACCTTATTTTGTTAACTGAGGTCTGTTGCCAAAATCCTAGTTACCTTCGTTGCTTATCTCATATGTATAAATCCATGTCCTTTACTGTTTCCACATTACTGTTCATCTTAAGAATGACGGCCTAATCTCATCTCATACTTTATAACTTTTATCCATCCATTGTTGATTATATTGATCTATAATCTACCTCTGATAACTTAACCTTTTATGTAACATTGTCGCTAGGGTTCACGTTTCATCGGGGAACATCTGAAATGATTAGACTAATCCACCTGAGGCGATACCATGCTTTCATAACGGTATCTCATAGCATCCCAATGTGATTCACCTTACATGGGTATTTTAATCCTGTCCAATTCATGGGATCCCTTTCTTTTCTCCGTCAGATAATTACTCAATCGAAGGCCCAAACGTCATCATTTATCTATCACAATTACACCCTCATTCTATTACCAGGGTAGCATTCCATCTCTTCTAAATGCTATTAGTCTTAGACTCCTTTGAGTTCATTCAGGTTATAGTGAGCTATGTATAACTTTGAGAAACCATCTGCTCTTCTTGTTTTCATGGGCTTAATCCCGAGGACTTATCCATTCTCGTCACCTCCTCACTCACCCTTTCTTATCATTACTCCTGTCTTCCTAAAACCTTGTCGTTTTACCATACTTTAGCTTGCGACCTACACATATCTATTTATATTACTCGTAACCTTCCTTCAGCTTGCTTGCACCACAGATTTCCTTATGTGATTTTGGAACATCAAGCGAGACATCACATCGTCTCTAACTCTTCTTTACTCTCTTAACTAGATCTCTCGGTACCTAGAAATCATAGGCTGGAAAATATGCCACTGACGACGCCGTTATCATTCCTGGATATTGAATCCCCGCACTTCTAGACATCTATCCAAAGTATGGACTATTCACAATCTTCTGCATTTGAGTATCTCGTACATTGTCCACCTTTACCTTACTTGCATTAAAGTCTCGCATCACATCTTCTATCTCTTTCATGACCTCCCTTCCATATAGGTATAATTTACATCCACAACTTGAAGCTCTATTATAATACTTGCACCTCTGGTGCATACACAATCCGGTGGGAGCTTCATATTGACTTCTTATGAGGCTAGTACTCTTCTAACTGGCTTTATCGTAGAGCCGTTATAGAATATGGCTATTGTACTATCTCTCTTATACCTCTGATATTAAGAGTGATTTTTCACTGTTCTCAATCATAATGTCTATAGATTTCTGGGTCCAATAATCAGACTTCTGATTTACTCAGTTAATGTAACTCTTTAGTTTCCTCTTCCTTCTGATCAGCCTTTATGTAGGCTTGAGCTATCTTCCGATCTACGGCTCATGATATTAGTTATTACTTTAGCCTTCCATGGGTGCTATATAATATCTATGATACAATCTTCTAACAATGCAATCCTTTGTTTATACCCTAGGCTCAATTCTTTCTTTTAACTTATACCGGAGTCTTTCTACGGCTGTATGAATGTCAGTATATACGCTGCATGGATAATACTCTGAGCTCTTAAGTGCGTTCATAATGTAACTAACTCTGGATCATTGATCGAATAATTTTTTTTGTTCCTTTTCAACTTTCTTTAAATGTAAGCAATTACTTTTCGTGGTCGTTCTGCCACTTGTTGCATGAAGGCTTGGCTTATCTTAGTGCCCACACATATTGGAATTTCGTACAATCCATATGATCTTTAATATCACCTTTTGATTTTGATTTTTTTTCTTCCTGTTCATAGCCACGATAGGTGCCACTTTCTTATGGAGTGCATACAATGTTATTGTGAGACTGTTGTTATATGAGCATTTCCTCTTTAGG